CTATGATCCAGAAGTACAAGCCAAATAAACCCTTTCCTCCCCAGCTTCCTTTTGGGTCTTGGTGTTTCACTGCTGCACTAGAAACCCTAAGACAAGGACCAGGAAGGAAGAGTGTCACTGAAAGGTCAAAGTGCCTGTGCGTCCGCAGGGGTTTTGTATTCTGAAGGATATAAGAAGCTATGTGAGAGTTTGTGTGGAGAATGTTTATCCCGACACATAGGCACACACCCGGGAGTGGGGGATGAAGAAGGAAGAACAAGTAGGTCCAGCTGGGAAACTACCGCAGTACCTTGGGGGCGGGAGAACAGTGGCATGAACCAGGGGAATGGCAGTGGAGTTCATGAGATTTGGGACATTTAATTAGATCTTAGAAGGTTTTATGAAATGCATGTGATATAGAACAGAAGGAAAATAACATCAAGAATGAAGCCACAACTTTCAGCTGCGATAACTATAAAAGCAAAATAGGCACTGAGATAGGGAGTCAGGAAGTAGAAGTGGTCTAGAATTGTCTTGGGTATGGCGGTTTCTATTAGTTTGCAATTATTTGAAGAATTTCCAACTGGATACACAAAGTAGGTAGATTAAAAGTGGAGTTCTAGAGAGTTTTTGCCTGGAGGTAATACACTTGTGAGGAGCCAGTGGGGTACAGTAGTTAGCATGCGCGCTAAGGGAGTCAGCTCAAGAGCAACGGGATGGAACCTAGGGACGCTCCAAAGATGGTCAGAGATGTGAGAAAACCACTAGAAGAGACTGCACAAATAAGTTAATGCCAGACCATGGCTGGCCTCAGGCAACTTGAATTTAGGTTTCAAAAGCCACACACCTAGAAAAGGACAGAGATGGTAAGAGACCCGTATCTGCTTGCATTAGAGAAGAATCCTGCAGGGTGATCCCTTTACAGAAACAACCCTCACATGTCTTCCCACTAGGACCATTTCTCACAGCCTAAGTATCTACTACCCAAGTGATACTACAGCAGGGTCCTAAGTTGGTGGGACTTCTAGATGTGTGATACAACCAAATGCAAACTCTTGAAACTGAAGGTTTCTTCCCTTCATGGAGGTCATTAGGGCCTCCCAATCTTAAGGACTTAAGGATAATAAAAGGCACACACACACACACACACACACACACACACACACACACACAATCAAGCATGCTGGGGCAGGAGAGATGGATCAGTGGCTAAGAGCACTTGCTGAACTTCAAGAGGACCCCATTTCTATTCACAGCACTTATATCAGTGTTGGGGACTATGGATCCCTAGACCCTGAATTTCCTGTGACCTCCGCCTGCCTGAGTAAAGAGCTCGTTTGCATGAGAGCCTCAGGAGTTCCTGATGGCAGGGAAGTGGTTTCTGGTGGGCTTGCAGCAGAGTTAGGCCGTGGCCATTTGGTCAGGGAAACCCTATATAAGCTGCCCTGGAACACAATAAAGTTGGCATTCTTGATTCAAGGGGGCATTCTTGTTTCAAGGATGACCAATTTCTCTCTGTCTCTGTCTTTCTCTCTCTCTCTGTGTATGTGTTTCAATCTCCAGCCCCTTGCCTGGCTCGCGAACCATACTGTAGCGTGTAGAGTAGGCCTTGTGTTACATATCAGCAGCTCACAATTCCCAGCTTCTGACCTTTGTAGATATCTGCCCGCATAAGGTACACATGCACACAAAATAAAAATTTAAATTTCAAAAATAATCAAACATGCACAAACACAAAACAGAAAATGATATCTTAAATAGCAAAAGTAGACTCAAGTGTAGGAATTATGTGACAGACAACACCAATAACTGCTTATTAAGACCAAAGGAATAAAAGCAAAGACTAAAAATAGTAAATTATAATGGGAAATGTAATTTATCAAAAGGAGTCAGAGAAATAAAAAATAACTACATTAACATGTAACTCAGATGGATTAATAATGTGTTAGACACAGCTAAGGAGACACTGTGAACTAAAACAGGATGGAAAAAATGACTTAATTCCTAAAAAAAGAGTATGGAAAATATTGAAGAAGGTAAGAAACATGGAAAGCCTGAGACTCCTAGGAGGAGATGGGAGAGAGGCTCAAGAGTCAGCAAGTAAGAGATAATGGCTGAAAACCTCAACCTAACAATTCAAACCATTTAAAGTATAATCATTACAATCTAAGTACAAATTATTAGAAGCTAAGAGAAGGAATTTCAAAGGAGCAAGAAATGGAATTCTGGAAGTTGAGGGAGGCTGGCAGCAGACCAGGTATAACTGACTACGTAGTAAAAGTCATACAATAATATAAGCAGTTTATATACACATCAAACACTTGAGGCTACAGCTATTTCCTGATAACCTGCTTTTGACAGACATTTGCACTGGCAGAGACCCAGCTTACTTAGATTTTCAATATTTACAATGAATCTTCTTTCCCCCAAAGGAAAGAAATAATAATTAAACAGAATTTCCTAAAATTATTGGGGACTTTTTTTTTTTTTTTTAATTTTCAGCTAGTGCTACATGACTACAGAGAAAGTCAACTGATGTGCCCACTTCAACCCTAATGAAAACGCGTTAGGAAAGATATGGGTCACAGCTGCCACACAGAGCTTGGTTTGTCAGTCACTTCCTCCTTCTGCCAAGAGGCTGTGCTAGCATGTAGAGCCCACTTTTCTCCCAGGAGGGGAAAGAACAGGAGTTTGGAATGAGAAAGAAGAGTTACACAGGATATTTAATCTTTAGCATAAAGATTCCTTACGGAGAAGATAATAACACAGTACCTTCATCTCACCATTCACCATGTAATTATTAAGAATCTTAAAAGTAGGCTGGGCAGCGGTGGCACATGCCTTTAATCCCAGCACTCGGGAAGCAGAGGCAGGTGGATTTCCGTGAGTTTGAGGCCAGCCTGGTCTACAGAGTGAGCTCCAGGACAGTCAGGGCTACACAGAGACACCCACTCTCAAAAAACAAGCAAGCAAGCAAGCAAACAAACAAATAAGCAAACAAGAAACAGAGACAACTCAGCACAGAGCAAAGAGAGATTCTAAGACGATGTCTGTGGCTGGAAGGGTAGCTAGATAATGACTCAGCTAACGTGATGTGAGGGTCTGGGCTGGATCACATACAAATAAAATGAAAATAATCATTTACGTACTCAAGGATATAAGAAGCTATTTCAAACATGAGAAAAAAAGCATTGATATGCCTATTGTGTGTGCATGTATTATATGCACACACACATCTATTTCTCTAGTTGTATCTATATCAAAGAAAAAGGCAGGGCCCTAATCTGGATGTAATTTGAACTACTAGTCTGGGTGAATTCTTTCAGTATGGAATCTTCCCATTTTCCTAAATTATTCCAATGATTTTCCTCCCATTTTTCTTTTATTCTTTTTTTTTCTTTCTTTTTCTTTTTTTTGGATTTTTTGAGACAGGGTTTCTCCGTAGCTTTTTTTGGTTCCTGTCCTGGAACTAGCTCTTGTAGACCAGGCTGGCCTCGATTATTTTATTCTTAAAAGAACTTTCGTTTTTCTTTGTTTTGGTTTTCTGAGACAGGGTTTCTCTGTGTAATAACCCGAGCTGTCTTGGAACTCACTCTGTAAACCAGGCTGGCATTGAACTCACACAGATCTGCTGCTTCTGCCTTCCTTGTGCTGAGATTAAAGATGTGTCCCACTGCTCAGCCTGAAAGAACTCTCATGCACATGTAATTTATATATTGACGTGCTGAACCTTCTTCTCTAGATTTTTTTTTTTTTGATTCAGACAGGGACTCACTCTGTAGCCCAAGACGCCCTGAACTCACCAATCTTGTTTTAGTCTTCCTTCAGTAGCTCCTCATCCTCCCACACCCAGCAGATATATACAGATATACAAATTAAGAAAGGACAGATAAGTTTCCTAAAAGTCAAAAAAATCTAACATTGAACTTAACAAAATGGGTAGAAAGAAATATGCAAAAAATTTTAGGGTGGGTTAGATGCTCTTAGAATTCAGATTTTAGTTTTAAAAGGAAATTGCACATGAGCAAATGGAAAGCATACATGCTGGGTGGGTCACTACTCCTGACTCTCAGCCATTTCCACCCACAGCACCCACAGCAGAAGGAACTTTCAGGACAGAAACAAGAAACCAGCCCAGCGTGGACATGCTTTTTCCTAATGAAACATCCCAACAAGACACAAAAGAGGCTAAAGCCTGCTTTGCTTTATTATAAATGATTATAGCTTGAATTCTAGTGACATCAAACTGTTGGCCACTGGTCCTTTTTCAGTTGCTCAGGATTTGTTTCTTTCTTTCTATTTTATTTTATTTTATTTTATAGGTACTGGTGTTTTACCTGCATGCATGCCTATGTGAGGGTGTCGGATCTTGGAGTTAGAGACAGTTGTGAGCTGCCATTGTAGGTGCTAGGAATTGAACCTGGGTTTTCTGGAAAGCAGTCAGTGCTCTTAACCACTGAGTCATTTATTCCAGCCCCTGAGGATTTGTTTCAATAGCAAAATATTATAAAAGTGCTTCCTGGTTAAACAACTGTCACTCATTCAACATTTAGGCTAAATCATGGAAAAACAAAGCAATGTAAAATTGTTAGTATTCAAGGTCATTGCTATGTAACACGAGATGGAGTTTTACTTCAACTGTAACAGGTGTGTAGAAATGAAAATGTTTAAAAACCAGGAAATAAGCCACCCATATTATCTCTAGCTCTATAAAGGAAGACAGTCTGGGTTATATAAACAAAAATAAACCTCCCACCAGAGATCTTGGAAATCTTGTAATTTTTTTTCTGCAGAAGGATTTATTATTTTCCACTGAGTCCATTCATGCGTTTCTTCTTGTTTCTATTCATAGCATCAGATCCTGACTATCATGCACAACCTCAAAAGAAAAGAAACACTAAATACAAACTGCAAAATTAAATAAGTAAAACAAAGCAAAATAAAAGGACACATGTTAGAAATGGGGACCCTGGGACTACTGCTATATACCTGGCACACACACTAGCTCTCCAGGGACTCACCTTGTAGGCAACACTGTTGGAAGAGTCCACAATGATGAACAAGGGTTTCCTTGTGAACGGATAGAGATCTCCAGGGTGAAGGCTGCAGAAAAACAAAAACAAACAAACAAACAAAAAAAACCAAACCAAACAAACAAACAAAACAGTGAGGAATTTTTTAACTATGGCCGAATCTCAAAAGGTTATTTCTAAATCTTTTGTCATGTGATGAATATGGGGTGCAGACATCTGGTTGAGATAGTGTACTAAGTGACATAATTTCATTTCCTTTAGATATAGACCAAGAAATGGGGCTATTGTTTTACAGTCTGCTATTTTTCCTTTGCAGTGTGCATATGTGCGTGCATGTGTGCTGGGCATGAACGGAGGCCTGAGGTTAATTTTGGAAATCTTCTGAAGTCACTTTGTACCTTATTACTTGAGGTAGTCTTTCAATCAAACTCAGAGTTTGTTGAGATGGGTAGTCTGGCAAACCAGCTTGCTCATGGATTTCCTCTCCTCCATTTCAGCCCCCCCAACCCACCCAACAGTCACATGGGTCTGGGGATCCAAACGCTGGCTCTCCTGTTTGTGTGGCAAGGGTTTTAACCATTGAGCCAACTCCCCAACCATATATTTCAAATTTCTTTCTTTCTTTCTTTATTCACCTCTTCACCCATTAGGAGACATGAATGACTTTGCTATGTAGCCAACCCAGACTGTCTTGTACTGGTAAGCAAGTGCTAGGATCACAGACATAAGCCATTATATTTGGTCTATTTTAACCTGGTTTACATTCATTCGTTTTGTATGTGTGATTTCTTCTTCTCCCCACACACCTTCACCACAGCGCTCACATGGAGGTCAGAGAACAATCTGTGGAGATTTAGCTCACTTCCACCCCGCAGGTATACGGGGTTGAACTCAGGGTATCAAGCTTGGTGGCAAGTGCACTCACCTGCTGACCCATCTCGCTAGCCCTTATTTTTAACTTTTAGAGGTACACCCATACTATTTTCCATAATGATTCTAGCAATCAAATTATATTCTTAGGATAGTCTTCAAGGGCTCTCTGCTCATATCCTCAACAATACTTGGGTTTTGCAACAACTATCCTACCAGATGTTAAGTAATAACTTGTCATGGGTTTAAGCTGCACTTGTCAGATGGTCAGTCGGGCTGACAGGTACTCAGGTACCTGTCACGTTTCTAAACCAAGGTGAGCAAGAGCACCACATGTGGCTTGGGGAAACACTAACTGTGGCATGAATAATTTGAAACATACAATGGCCTGGTCTCCTCCTTTATCCATTTTTCAGTATGAACAGTTTATATTTAATATAAAGTGTTATTAGACAAGTCCACTGTTCATTAAAAGCAGAATTTTCTTTTTCAGCTAGAGAAATTCTAAAGATGGTTCTATGCTAGAAAAAGCAGGCCTTCACAGAAGAACACACAAGTAGTCTAAGGGAAGTTCCCCTTTCTCTCAATAGCTACAGAGTTTTGATCCCTAGAATAAGTACCAGTGCATCTCCTTGTGGGACTGGTTTCGTTTGTGGATTGCGTCTCCATTTATAATGTCCCGGTTACTGTTAGTGAGTACACCTCCAAAGTCGTAGGGACCTAAAGAACAAAGAGAAGAAACAGAATTCAACTGGAGGGTGACACAGACTGGTCTGAAGCTCAGATTCAAGAACACCACTGAATCTCCCTTTGATATACGTGCAAGGTAAGTACAAAACATTTAAACCATCTTTAAATTTAACATTTTATTATAATGCAATATTTTCATTTCAGTACATTGCCTACTTCAATACTTTTAAACTCAGGAGGCAAAGACTGGTGGATCTCTGTGAGTTCGAGGCCAGCATGGTCTACAAAGTGAGTTCCAGGACAGCCAGGGCTGTTACACAGAGAAACTCTGTCTTGAAAAGCCAAAATCCAAACCAAGTAAAACCAAAAAAACAAACAAACAACCCAGCAATAACATCAAAGTTAAGAATCAATAGCATTCCATTAATTTGGGTAGTAAAAAGGGACGGAGAAGCTCCTAGGCTTTAGCATTCTGAGGAACTGGTATGACAATGATACACTAAAGTACCTGATCCAGTAAATATAATTGTAAATTAACTACTAAGTGCAAGATTTAAAGAAAAATTAGAATTGAATTTGAAAATTCTGACTAACAAAACTTTATTTGGGCTTGAGAGATGGTTCAGTGGTTAAGAACACTGGCTGCTCTTCCAGAGGATCTGGGTTCAATTCCCAGCACCCACATGGCAGCTCACATCTGCCTGTAGCTTCAGTTCCAAGGTATCTTGCATCTTCACACAGACACACATGCAGACAAAACACCAGAGCACATAAAATAAAAAATATATAAAAAATAAAAATCTTAAAAAACTTTATAAAATATTCAGCCAAATTCCAGTACATAAAAAATCCATTATTTTACTATTATGTAAACCTCTTTAATTCTGGTTTACATGTTAGGCTTTCCCCACTGGTCATAAGAGTTAGCTAACTTTTATCTAAGTTGAACAGTGACTGTGGGAAGTTCAGATAATCTCTGAGAAAGCATCATTCTGTTAGTACCTATATTAATTACAAAAAGTAAAATAAGAGGTTAACAGTCTAATTTAAGACCCAGAATATCTGCTTTAATAACATGTTTTCAAACAAGAGATAAGAAATATAAAGTGACTAACATTTAATAAGAACTAAGGCAGTTACTGATACTCCCTCCCTTGTCCCTGTCCACCAGTGCTCCACTATATCCCATCCCTCACGTCACAGTTGGATTATAGCCCTCTAAAACATCACTGCAATATAAAGACTACAGAGATTTGCTTTGCTTTCTTTCACTGTAACTAACATTTTACTACTTTGTCATGCAAGGAAGATGGTGGGTCATGCATTTTATAAAGGAATGCTGATTCCAACAGACAGATGAGGAGGAAAATGTTGAAAATGTTAAACTATTTTTCTCCAGAGATTTAATTCCTTCATTTACATTTAAGTTGCTCATCTAGTCTGAACAATTCTGAGCTCATATGTTCTGACACTTGAGGTCTTATTATGAAACAGCATCCTAATACTGCATGGACTGAATCCACAACAACGAAACAAAAGGACTGAAAATAAAATCGTAACAAGGACTTGAACTTTCAGTTACAAAAGTACACTGATTTCTACTAAGACTTTTGGCCATAATGTTGCCTCTGACCAAATCCCCAAATATATTAAAACCTTACAATGATTAATGATGTCAAATAAATAAGTTGGTAGATTCCATATTCCTATGCAATGACAAATATCAAACTGCATATGTATAAATCTATCTATAATACTTTTGACAAATTTGATAGCAAAGTATGAATTTGATCAATGTATAATTTCAGGATATTTGTACTTCAGGGAGTAACAGCTGAATTTGGAGAGTTGAGTCCATTCTTTTCAACACTGTCACTAAAGAAGCAGATGAGGTTTTAAATTTGGAAGCTTCTCTAGAAAGCCTGAAGTGGTCTCTGGGCTGTTGGCCATTGTCTTGTAGAAAATAGAGAGAATTCAAGCCCTGCTCACGGTGGGAGCATTCCTTTATTGTACCTTCACCATCAGAACGACCTGTGGGGAAAACGCCAGTGGCTGACAGGTAAATCAGAAGTACACTATTGGCAGGCAGCTCCTGAAATGAAAGAAAACCACAGACGCAAAACCACAGACAGAAAAATAACATAGTTTTATTTAAAGTTCAGGGCAATTTAAAGCTGTGGGGAAAATGATGTCGTTTAACACACTGCTGCTATTTCCAAGAGAATTACCATATTCCCACATATTCCAATTTAAAATCCCATGGTGAAGATCCCCTGCGCTCCCCACTGCATAACCACCCAAAGCTTATGTAATGTGGTGAAGATCCCCTGTGATTCCCACTGCGTAGCCACCCAAAGCTCTAACGTGGTGAAGATCCCCTGCGATCCCCACTGCGCAGCCGCCACCCAAAGCTCTAACATGTTTTCCAAATACAACTCGCCATCTGTTAGAGCATGTTCTCTGAAAACATGAAATGGAGAAAGCTCTCCACTGGTTTGATAAAAAAGGGCAAACTCTCCTCATACCTTCTTCTATATAAATTTTGGGAAGATACCACCCAATTCCCATCATCCCCCCCATTTTTTTTTGAGGCTGTATGGAACCCACAGTGGCCTTAATTTTGTTGCAAACTGATGTTTCCAGGTTGTCCTTGAACTTGCTACTGTGTGGCCCAAGAGGGCTTCCAACTTCTGTCCAAATGCAGGATCACAGGTATTTACCATACCCTTCTCCCTATCAGATAGCAACAGTGTCTCACAGAGCTGCCTGAGCACATACAAGCTTTTCTCAGTTTTGAGTGTTAAGCCCAAAGTTGCTTAGTAATAACAATCTGGAAGGGAGAGAATGGCGATTAACCAATAGTCTCTGACTGACATCAGCAGCAGCTCCCACTCCCAGGCCCAGGGATCAGGACTCCCGCTGGAGCAGCACATGTTCACAGACCACTCACACTTGTAGTCAGCCGCAGCCCACCATGAGCACTCTCCCCGCCACAGAAGAAAGGCCTGGGCCACACGTACCTTAAAAGATGCTGCTAAGAAAGTATACAGCTGGCTAAAGGTCGGCTTGTAGAGCAGATACTTGTGGGGGTTTTCCCGTCTGGTTGGCTTGTCAGCTGACTCCTACAGTGACACACCCAAAATGACACATAAGTGGTATGTGACAGGTGAGTTATCAAATGTTCTCATTTTATTCAGAGTCTGTAATTGTCATATCAACTTTTCTGTGTCTTATTGAGCTCTCTTTGTTTTGTCACAGGAGTTCACTATGTAGCCCTTGCAACAATCCTACGTTTGGCCAGCTAGTATGCCTACAGACGTGAGGCACCCAAGGCTGGCTAGAGAGAATGCTATATTTACATGTGTTAGAGTTACCACTCTGGCAAATGTGGGTGGAAGGTCACCTGTATTCCTGGTTTATTCATCTGGGAAGCTAAATTCATTGGTTCCCTCTCCAAGGCTTGCAGCATACGGAACATGTCAACAGTTAATTCACTGAATTTGACCTGAAAAAAAAAATACCTGGTCATTAATGTAATAAGCATAACTTCTGCTCTTTTTTCTTTTTTAATTTTTTTTTTTCATCCAGGGTTTGTCTGTGTAGCCCTGGCTGTCCTAGAATTTTCTCTGGCTGGTGTTGAAATAAGAGCGGCGGGGCTGCGTTCCCAGCACCCCGGCCGCCTGCTTGGCTAGCTTATGCCCGAAATAACAACACACAAACTGTATTCATTTAATCACTGCTTGGCCCATTTCTATCTAGCCTCTTCTAGGCTAATTCTCACATATTAATTTAGCCCATTTCTAATCATCTGTGTAGCGCCCCTAGGTGCGCTTACCGGGAAGATTCTAGCCTATGTCCATCCTGGGTCGGAGCTTCATCGCGTGCATCTGCCTGGGAGCTGGGAGCATGGCGTCTGTCTGAGGCATCTGCTCCCGAGAGGAGAGCTGTGGAGTCTGAGCTCACTTCCTCTTCCTCCCAGCGTTCTGTTCTATTTACTCCTCCCACCTATCTTCTAACCAATGAGGGCCAAGCAGTTTCTTTTTATTTAACCAATGACCTTCCTCCATCATTTCCCCTTTTTCGGTTTAAACAAAAAAGAAAAAAGGCTTTAACTTTAACATAGCAAAATTACATATAACGAAACAGTTATCAAGTAAAAGTTACAATAATCTTTATCATAACTAAGGAAAACTATAACTATAACTAACTATTCTTAACTCCATCAAAGACTCCAGAAAGATACAATACTACCTAAGCAAACAAGAAATAAGCAACTTTTAAAACTGTAGAAATGACAGAGACATCTCGCTGCCTGGACAGTCACCCAAAGTTCCTCTGTACCGTTGGGGCATCCATCTTCAGCCTTCAGGCCCATGGTATCCAGAGACATTTCCATGAAGCAGAACATTTCAAAGTCAGTTCAGTCACTATCTGTTGTGTCCTGCAGAATGTCTCGCAGACTCTTTCATGAATCAGGAACCCCGAAAGATCATCTCACACACAAACTGTATTCATTTAATCACTGCTTGGCCCATTTCTATCTAGCCTCTTCTAGGATAATTCTCACATATTAATTTAGCCCATTTCTAATCATCTGTGTAGCGCCCCTAGGTGCGCTTACTGGGAAGATTCTAGCCTATGTCCATCCTGGGTCGGAGCTTCATCGTGTGCGTCTGCCCAGGAGCCGGGAGCATGGCGTCTGTCTGAGGCGTCTGCTCCTGAGAGGAGAGCTGTGGAGTCTGAGCTCACTTCCTCTTCCTCCCAGCGTTCTGTTCTGTTTACTCCTCCCACCTATCTTCTAACCAATGAGGGCCAAGCAGTTTCTTTTCTTTTTTTTTTAAAGATTTATTTATTTATTATGTATACAACATTCCTTCCATGTATGCTTGCATGCCAGAAGAGGGCACCAGATCTCATTACAGATGGCTGTGAGCCACCATGTGGTTGCTGGGAATTGAACTCAGGACCTCTGGAAGAGCAGTCAGTGCTCTTAACCACTGAGCCATCTCTCCAGCCCCAAGCAGTTTCTTTTTATTTAACCAATGACCTTCCTCCATCAGGCTGGTCTGTAATTTACACAGATTTGCTTGCCTCTGTCTCTTTGAGTGCTGGGATTAAAGGTGTGCATCATCACCTTCAGGCTGAAATTCTGGTGTTTAATCACATTTTACTCCTGATTTTCAAGTAAACTTGATAACAGCTGATTTTTTAAATATATATGTTCATTTTAAAAATAGAAGTTATATCTTTCCCCCTGGATTTGTTTCAGCATCATTAACTGGTCTTAATAATAAAAAGACCTGCCTTGTTCCTTCTTGAAGTCATGGTCTCTTTTTTTAGTTGTTATTGGTCAATGTGTTTGTGTGCATCTAAATATATAAATACAACCTGCTCAGTCCATTTAGTGCTACTTATAAGTATGTGATTGATAGCTGACCAGTTGGTACTGGAAAAGCAGTTAGGGAGTACATCCCTGAAGAGGGCTATTCTCCGCACCACGGTCCCAAACTGTTCACTACCCATCACTACATGAGAACAAAACAAGTTCTAGATCAGCGCAAGGAGACAACATCCTGGATTTCTGTCCTTTCACTGTCACAGATGAGGAACTGAGGGCACACTTTCAGGACAGAACCAATGGTAGCAGTTTCACTCAATCTTTTCTCCTGAGTGACCCAGAATGGCCTCGACACCTACTTCAGTCTTCCAAGGGCTGTGATTATAGGCATGTGCCACCTTACTTGACTTTTCTGTATTCTGAAGAATAAACTCTACACATAGCAGAATTACAATTTCTTATTTTCCTATTTTTGAGGCGATTTGCTAGTTTGGTTATTCTTTTGTTTTAAAAACAGGATCTTACTTGGCATGGTGGCACACTCCTTTAATCTCAGCATTTGTGAGACAAAGTTCAAGGCCAGCCTGGTCTACATAGGGAGTTCCAGGACAGCCAGGCTACACAGTGAAAGGCTGTCTCAAAAATATCAAAAAAGAAAAAAAAATGAAATTAAAAAATAAAAAGACAGTCTTGCTACACTGCCCAAGTTGCCGTAACTTACAGCAATACTTGTGCCTTTAAAATCCCAATGGCTTGGATTATAAATGTGTGCCACGGGGCTGGAGAGATGGTTCAGAGGTTAAGAGCACTGACTGTTCTTCCAGAGGTCTTGAGTTCAATTTCCAGCAACCACATGGTGACTCACACCCATCTGTAATGAGGTCTGGTGCTCTCGGCCACCACAGAGCCACCACTATTAAAATCTATTGTCATGTTAGCAGAGCACACATATTCTACACTTCAAGCCTATTGGCCCTTATTTAACCCTGAATGCCAGATGCCAGTGCTGACTTAACCCCTTCAGTTCCTCAGCTCCTCACTCACTGGCCCTAACCAGTTTTGTTTTGTGATTTTTATTTTATTTTATTTTATTTTTTTTTGAGAAAGTGTCTCATGTAGCTGGCTGCAGACAAAGAAGACTTCCTGTTCCTCCTTTTACAGTGCTGGTGTCACAACTGTATGCCACCGACCCGGGCTGAAAGTCCGGGCTTTCTGAGCACACAGGTACTCCTCCTCACCTCCAGTCCTCACACTTTCTGAGCACACAGGCACTCCTCCTCACCTCCAGTCCTCACACTGAGCACACAGGCACTCCTCCTCACCTCCAGTCCTCACACTTTCTGAGCACACAGGCACTCCTCCTCACCTTCAGTCCTCACACTTTCTGAGCACACAGGCACTCCTCCTCACCTTCAGTCCTCACACTTTCTGAGCACACAGGCACTCCTCCTCACCTCCAGTCCTCACACTTTCTGAGCACACAGGCACTCCTCCTCACCTCCAGTCCTCACACTAGCACTTTAAGTAGTCTCTACATTTACAAACGGATTTTTCCCCCTAGGCTGAATTGTGGAAGCAGGGTCACCTGAGAAACAGCTTTTACCACATATACAGCTGTACAATGATGCAAAAAAATAAAAGCCACCCTTGTCTCCTTCCGTATGCAATGATGGATCAATGCTATAGGCTGATCCTTTAAAGTATCTGTGGGAACCAGCCTTGCAGATCTATTATTACCTCTGTTCCGGTAGCACAAGAAAACAGTACCATTCAGTAAGATTTCTGTGAGTTTCCTAACTTCTCTGACAATTCCACTGTGTCTTTAACCTATTCTGCACAACTACATCCAAGAGGAACGTCTTCAGGGGAGGTGGGAGAACAGCAGCAAAGTCTTTTGCTAAATATACATTATCCATATGTACATATGCAAGTGTCATAATGAAACCCATTACTTTGTCTGACAACTAAAACTTAAAATATAATAAGTAATAAGACAGCTATGAAGAACTACACTTACTTTCTCAAAATGCAGCCCTCATCATTACTCTCCTTGCCCTGCCCTTTGCTAGTTTCCTGTGCATTTGGGAAAAGACAACCTTCCTGGCTTTTTCCTGTACTTCTTGTTCTCCCCTCTTCCCTCCCCGCAGTGCAGCCTTCTGCCAGTGTCTGTTCCTCCCAGGCTGACAGGCTCAGACAATAGCACAGCTGTTACTGCTGTTTCACATGCTTACACTGCAAAACTTCTTACTCTCTAGGTCTTAACCAAAATGCTTTCTCTTAGACTAGCTCAAATCCCCTGATGCCAGACATCAGAATAGTATACCTCTCCTTTGCCACATCTGCTGAAAGGATATTATCTAAGTAGTTATTTTGTTAATAATTGTTTTCACAGGTAAAAAGGAAGACCCATCAGTGAAGACATTTTGCCTTTTTTGCTACATACACACCCTGGACATGTGACTGACACTTTATAAATACTGATTGGGCTGGGGATATAGCTCAGTTGGAAATTAATAAATAAGCAACTTTCTGTGTCCTTAAAAATTCTTTCTCAACAATGTCAGCATCAGTATTATATATATAAACATGGCATAATTGATTTAATCATTCCTCACAGATGTTAGGGATTTTATAAGGGAAGAATCCAATGATGAGAATAACAAATTTTTTTCAAAGTGAGTTTTAAGCATAATTTCACTTCACAGTTCTTTACCTGATTATTACAATTACCAATAATGAGTGCATCAGCCAGAGACAACTGCCCCACAATCATGCCTTGCTCCAGCAATGGGGCTCCTGTTTCAGTGAGGCGATTAGATGTGATAACAATGGTGTTATCATCATTCAACACCATCACAGGGTCTGCCTGAGGAAAAAAAAAAGCATGTAATGACAACACAGAATATCATTGCTATCTGTTCTTCTCAAAGTAACATACACACCATAAACATACAACACAGCCATTTGCCTACCCGTGACTGTGACAACCTTTCTCTCAGGAAATTACCCAGTAATCTGAATGTGGTGGCTCACGCCGTTAATACCAACACTTAGGAGGGAGAGTAATCTGAATGTGGTGGCTCATGCCGTTAATACCAACACTTAGGAGGGAGAGGCAAGTGGACTCAATTTGAGGCCAATCTGGTCTACAAAGCAAGTTTCAGGATAGTAAGGGCTGTTATGCGGAGAAACCCTATCTCAAAAAACAACAAAACAAATAAATAAAACAAAACAAAAGACAAACAAACAGAAAATCTGGGCAGTGGTGGTACACGCCTTTACTCCCAGCACTGGGGGTGAGGGTGTGGGGGGTGCAGAGGCAGGTGGATCTCTGTGACTTTGAGGCCAGCCTGGTCTACAGAGCGAGCTCTAGGACAGGCTCCAAAGCTACACACAAAAACCCTGTCTGGAAAAAAAAGGAAATTACCTCAATAAAGGCTGCCACCTCTTGAAGCACGAGGTTCCACTCGACTTGATCTTCAGTATTGAAGCGATGAGTATAATCTTCAATTTCATCAGATAACTCCTGGTTTTAGGAATACCAAAGAAAAGGGGTTATTAAAAATCTCTATAAAAAGGCTAGTGACCTTTTTATGTCCCTGCCACTCAGCCTGACAACTTGAGTTCAATACACGGAACCCATGCAATAAAATGAGAGAAACAACTCCTACATGTTATCTTCTGACCTCATGCCTACATGCCTATTTTGCTTGTGCATGCACGCACGCGCATACACACACACACACACACACACACACACACACACACACAATAAATAAATGTAAAAAAATTTTAATCTTAACAGCTCCACTCTAGGTCTACTTGGGGAGAGAGGCAGATCTGAAGAGGAGAGGGCAGTGAGAAACAGGTTGAAGTAGATGCCCTGCTTGCCACTCGGGACCACGGCGATGTCTGAGCCTGGCTGTGGCCAAGGGCCATAATTTGCTCTCTAATCCTGATGCAGCTGTGGGGGTCTGTCTTGATGTCTGTGGCTCCTGTTACTACTGAGGGCCCTGTGGAAGCCAGAGTCTAAACCACTACCTACGACCAAGTTTTTGTTCAAGAGATGTGCCCCCATCATGGAGGGCATGCTAATCCAGGACCGGTTTGCCATCAAGCTGTCTATGTAAGCACTCAAGACTAAGGCAGGAGGACTGTCAATTTAACAGACAGCCTGGGTTACATAATGAGTTCTAGGGCAGCAAGGGCTGGGATCACGAAAGAAAGAAAAAGAGACAGGGGGGAGGGGGAAGGGTACCTCCCAAGTGCTGGGATTAAAAGCAAGCAGTACCACACCTGGCTATTATTTTAAAATACATTTATAGTCTCGGCACAAAAGAGACTGATTCACAGGGATTACACATTGCTCAAACTAGATACAAGGGCGGAGGGCCTTGGTCCTACCTCAAGTGCTCAGACAGACTTCTTTGACTTCCTAGGGGAAGCTTCACCTTCTCTGAGCAGTGGATGGGGGGTGGGGCGGTGAGAAGGTGAGGGGGGAGTGGAAGGATGGGAGAGGGAACTGGGATTGGTATGTAAAATAAATTTTTTTTTCTCTCGACAGGGTTTCTCTGTAGTTTTGGAGCTTGTTCTGGAACTAGCTCTTGTAGACCAGGCTGGCCTCGAACTCACAGAGATCCACCTGCCTCTGCCTCCCAAGTGCTGGGATTAAAGGTGTGCGCCACCACCATCCAGCTATAAATTTGTTTTAAAAATAAAAAAAGTAGGCCGGGTGGTGGTGGCGCACGCCTTTAATCCCAGCACTTGGGAGGCAGAGGCAGGCGGATCTCTGTAAATTCGAGACCAGCCTGGTCTACAAGAGCTAGTTCCAGGACAGGCTCCAAAACCACAGAGAAACCCTGTCTCGAACCCCCCCCCCAAAAAAAAAATAAATAAAAATAAAAAAAGTATATTTACCTTTACTAGGTCTTTCACAACATCCATTTTGTTAAGAAGAAGACAAACTACTATAAATCTTGCATAGTATCGGAGTTTCTTAACAACCAACTCAGGCCTACGGTGGATAAAAGAGAAATCAATCATTATATTAAAATGGAAAACATGCTGTTTGACTTCTGGATAGCTTTTAAAACTTTATCATTTGTAGAACAGAGACAAAAATTCCACATAAAAGCACACAGCCTTAGCTTGGCAAGTGCTTGTACTTTCACAACCCAGCAGGTGGAGGCAGGAAGATCAGGAGTTCAATGTCAAGTACTGAGTTCAAAGGCAGCCTGGGGTACACGCGACTAGTCTCAAAATCAAAACCAGGGAGCCTTTTAAGTACATTGAGTCATCCTTCTACATTCGTTCATTCTACAAGCATCTACGGAGAATTTAAGTGCACAAGAAACAATACCATGACGGGGCTGGAGAGACGACTCAGCAGGTGAGAGACATTGCTACTCTTGCAGAGGACCTGTGTTCAATCTCCAGCACCCACATGCTCACAATAATCTGTAACTTCAGTTCCAGGGGTTCCACTGTCTTCTGACCTCCTTGGGCATGAGGCACAAATGAAATGCACATACACATGCAGGCAAACACCAGGCTGCCTCGGACTCAGAGATCCGCCTGCCTCTGCCTCCTGAGTGCTGGGATTAAAGGCGTGTACTACCATGTTCAGCATAAAAGAAACTAAAAAGAAATCTTAGTAAATAAAAGAAAAAGAAAAAGAAAATGAAAAGAAAAGCAGTGGTGGAGTGCAGTACTTGGGAGGCAGAGGCAGAGGTAGGTGGATCTCTGTGAGTTGGAGGTCAGCCTATTCTACAGAGAGAGAGTTCCAGGACAGCCATAGCTGTTACATAGAGAAATCCTGTCTCAAAAAACAAAAATAAAATGAAATTAAAAAAAAAAGGAAAACCATCAAACCTATGTTATCACTTCTACTACTAAGAAAAGCCAATTTTCCACTATACACTGGTTGTGAGTCCTGTCTCTGGGGGTGCAGGGAACACACCATCTTTTGTGCCTGTCTCTGGGGGTGCAGGGAACACATCATCTTTTGTGCCTGTCTCTGGGGGTGCAGGGAACACACTATCTTTTGTTTCTGTCTCTGGGGGTGCAGGGAACACATCATCTTTTGTGCCTGTCTCTGGGGGTGCAGGGAACACACCATCTTTTGTGCCTGTCTCTGGGGGTGCTGGGAATACACCATCTTTTGTGTTTGTCTCTGGGGGTGCAGGGAACACACCATCTTTTGTGCCTGTCTCTGGGAATGCAGGAAACACACCATCTTTTGTGTCTGTCTCTGGGAATGCAGGGAACACACCATCTTTTGTGCCTGTCTCTGGGAATGCAGGGAACACACCATCTTTTGTGCCTGTCTCTGGGAATGCAGGGAACACACCATCTTTTGTGCCTGTCTCTGGGAATGCAGGGAACACACTATCTTTTGTTTCTGTCTATGGGGGTGCAGGGAACACACCATCTTTTGTGCCTGTCTCTGGGAATGCAGGGAACACACCATCTTTTGTGCCTGTCTCTGGGAATGTAGGGAACACACTATCTTTTGTGCCTGAAAATTCTTCAGCAATCCTTGAAATGCAATGAAACCCTGCAGCTGATCATTTCTCTAGCTGCAGCTCCTCTGATGGCTGCCAGTCAGCCTTGCCCAGTGTCTATCTACAGCCTCAGCAGAAGAACATCTTCAGATAGGACCTCACACACACTTTGCCTTTCCCTTCCCCATGCACTTGTCAAGGGGAAGTATATGGCAAGTCAACAGACTTCTACTGGGAATCCATGAATCCTACAAGATTCCATAAAGCAAACGGTGGTGCTCAATCGGGCAAGGTGGTCAAAACAGTATTGAGATTCTGTCTTTCGGGAATTTTTTTTGACAGTCTCACTATGTACCATATGGACCTCCACCTGCATCTGCCTCCCAAGTGCTGGGGCTAATGATATTTGCTACCACACATCAGAGTAGTGGGCTTAAAAAAGAAAATTCAAAGAAAACTAGCAGCCTTTTTCTCTGGTCGTATGTAATAGTTGTTAATAGGCTTTTGAAGATACATCTATATATAACTAAAAACTACATGGACTAGAAATAACAAAGACATTAGTGAAGCCTAGTTTTAGAGCCCTTTCTTCCCTATGAAGCCTGTGCAACCTATGTACATCATGAAAACCCCTCACTGACGAGACGGCTCAGTGGATAGAGACACTTGCCTGAAGACCTGAGCTGGATTCTCAGAACCTGTGTGCTGAAGTAGAGAATGACTCTTTCTCAAAGTCATTCTCTCACCTTCGCATGTGCATGCACATGGATACACTCGGGCTAAAATGCTGAATGTCTTGTCATCTTTCTGAAAGCACAGATGATACATACCTGTCCTCTTTATTAACTTGAGAGTAGTATGATCTCTGTCTGATTGCAGAGTAGAAGGAGAAAGCCTCATTCAGATAGCTGGTCTCAGATGTTCGCAAACTATAAGAAAAAAATTTAAATATGATCACACTGGGTGTATTCCTCATGAGAAACACTTGTTCCAGTTGTCCAACTCTACACAGGGGGATGCTAATGACTATGCTAACTCAGAGTCAGCAAAGTATTACTAGTGTTGTCTTTCAATTTTCTAGGAACAATAGCAACAACAAAATATTTCCTCGCTGCTCCTAAGCTTTTTGGAAGTCAATTAAAGCACATGTCATTCCCATTCTACAAAATGTCAGCATTCTACTTGAGTATATCTGATCCCAGGTCTAGACCTTCTATAACCTCTCCCTAATCAGTTGGTACTGAAATCTTCACCCATTTCTTTAGCTTTTTCCTCCTTATTAACTCATACTACTCTTTGAGGGGTGCTAATGAGCTATGTAGTCTGTTTAGTATGTCTAATTTAATAAGAAACCTTCAGGGCTGGAGAGATGGCTCAGTAGTTAAGAGTGCTGCCTGTTTTTCTAAAGGTCCTGAGTCCAATTCCCAGCAACCACATGGTGGCTCACAACCATCTGTAGTGAAATCTGGTGCTCTCTTCCGGCCTGTAGGCATACATGCAGGCAGAATACTATATACACAATAAATAAATCTTAGAAAAAAGAAACTTTGAAAAATAATTTACTTTAAAAATTTATTTACTGCTTTGACAATTTTACATGCATATGTGCATGCACACACACACAATGCATTCTTGTTATGGAATATTAATTTAAGATGCACTACATTTGTTTATCTGTGGAATATTTGTTTAATGATGTAAAGATGTGTTACATTCTTTTATGCTGAATTTGTTTAACTCTGTGAAGCTGTGTACTGTGCCTGTCTAAAACACCTGATTGGTCTAATAAAGAGCTGAACGCCCCATAGCAAGGCAGGGAAAAGGTAGGTGGGGCTGGCAGGCAGAGAGAAAAAAATAGGAGTGGAAATCTGGGGAGAGGAAGATCAAGGAGTGAGAAAAGAAGGGGCCAGCCACCTAGCCAGACACAGAATAAGAAGGAAAGAAAAGATACACAGAAATAAAGGAAGTTAAAAGCCCAGAGGCGAAAGGTAGATGGCATAATTTAAGTTAGGAAAAGCTGGCAAGAAACAAGCCAAGCTAAGGCCGGACATTTATAAGTAAGAATAAGCGTCTATGTGTATTTATTTTGGAACTGTGTGGCAGGCTCCCAAAGAGTAAAGAGTAAAACGAACAACAATTCTGGTTACTCTCTCCTCTTTCTCACCTTCCCACTCCTGTCAAGTCTTTTTTCCTGTCCTTTTCCCAGATTCATGACATGGTTTTGTTGTATGACCCATTTAGTTTAATCAGGGCATTAGATTGGGACTATCTATGGAATGTGGTGAGGGTACAGGAAGTACATAACCACAGCACTGATAAATTATCTACCAGTAGGAAATGGCACAGTAGTGAGTAAGGCCCCCTGATTTTCCTCCATCAAGGTCTGGCTGTCAACGGGCCCTTTGCAGTGCAGATCTACTGTAGACATCTGTAGGTGTTAGAGGCAGGCGGATCTCTGAGTTCGAGGCCAGCCTGGTCTACAAGAGCTAGTTCCAGAACAGGAACCAAAAAGCTACGGAGAAACCCTGCCTCAAAAAATCTAAAAAACAAACAAACAAAAGACATCTGTAGGTGTTATGGGTTCATGATTATAATGGCTGTGTCTTGTTCAGAAGATGGCAGTGTCCCAGTCCTTCTCCCTATCTGCAGGCTGGTACTATCTTTATGTTGGAGGGATGGCATATGTCTTCTCCAGGGGTGAGCATTCTAATAATAACTTACTCCCAGCACCATAACAAAAGATTTTAAAGATCTTGTTCTAACAAAGAGGGATTTTAGTGGTGTGTACTCTGAGTGCCATGCCAAAGCTGGGAAGATGAGGACTTTTCTTATCTTATTTGTTCTGTTTTGTTGACAGGTCTCTCTGTGTATCCCTGGCTGTCCTGAAATTCACTCTGCAGACCAGGCTGGGCCTTGAGCTCACAGAGATTTGCCTACCTGAGGCCCAAGTCTTTGGTTATTAATGTTACTTTGTGCTGAGAGTCACATTTGTAAAAGGAGATTTCTTCTTTCCTTCACTCAAAGGTGAGACTACACAGATGTCACTATTCTAAGGAGGCAAACAACTGTCTATTTTTGTCACATGACCTTTCAAGCATAGCCAACTAGGATGAGTGTTTAAAGGAGGCCGTGAATATACATACTGCGTCTCTACACACCATCAAGACTTAAAGAGCCCCAAGAACAATAAATATATTTAGTAGTCATCATTTATTTAAGAAAAAGATTAAATTCCTCAGGTCTGATCGAAGGAGTTACTGAAGAGACCACCTGACATCAATAACACTGCTTGAATTATGCAAGGCCATTTCATGGTGCCATCCTGATCCATCTGGCCTGAACAAAATTCTGTCTATAACTCACTGTCCTCTCTTTTACGTGCTGTTTTAACCAAAGAAACACTTTCTTCTTTCCATGTATAATTCACTTACTAATAATGGTAATACAGCTGTCCAATCTTGGAAGCAATTTCTCCTATTTGCCACCGCTTCAAGCCATACCGATTATCCAAGACTTGTCTGTTTACACAGAAGACAAAAAATAGATATAACAAAACATAAATTTCAAAAATAACCAGTTCTGTAAATTCAATGATAAAATATCATCCAATTAGCACAACTTATGAATAAGATTTCAACATAACCATTTAACTCCATTAAAAATGATTCTTTATTAATTGACTGATTTGTGTTATATCTTTGTGTGTATTTGTATATATAATCTGTACATACATGTGCATGAATACGTGATTGTGTGAACTCAGGTGTGGCGGTTAGATGATAGCCCTCATTGTCAGCCCTCGCCCCTCACCTTCGTGGTCACTACTGCGCACGGAGGCTAGTCAGGGATTCTTCGCTCTTTACTTCCCATTTCACTCCATTGATTGCTGGGATTCAAACTTGTAGACAAACACTTTCTCTCCAGCCTCTGTTCTTTTAGGGACAGGATTTCATGTAGCTAAGACTGGCCTATCTGTGTAGTTGAGGATAACCATGAATTCTTGATCCTATTTCCACCTCCTAAGAACTAGAATTATAGGTGTATACCAACATACTTAGCTTACAAAATAGTTATTAAATGTCTGCTGAAGCCAGGCACACACTGTGGCACACACCTTTAATCCCAGCACTCAGGAGGCAGAGGCAGACGGATCTCTGTGAGTTTGAGGCCAGCCTGGTCTACAGGGCAAGTTCCAGGGCAGCCAGGGCTACACAGAGAAATCCTGTTACAGAAAAAAATATCTACTGAAAGCCTGTTGCAATGGTTCACATTTGTAATCCCACAACTCAGGAGGCACAGGTCAGTTCTGAGGTGGCAGAGGCAGGAGGATTGATATGAGTTTTCAGGAGTTTCTAGGTCAGCCGGGATAATGAAGTGAGATCCAATACCAGAAAAAGAAAAAAACAAAACAAAAAGAAAACAGAGAATATGTAGTCTAAGTTCTCAATAGTTCTATTGGGCCTGGAAAACCATACCTTTAATATTAGCACTTGGGAGACAGAGGCAGATGGATCTTGGTGAGCTTGAGATCAGCCTGGTCTGCAGAGTTCCAGGCCAGCCAAGGCGACATAGTGAGACCTGTCTCACAAAAGAAAAGATGCAACCTTCCTCCCCAAACAGTGTGGACTGCTAACCACATTTCAGAATGTGGTTTGGAAGACAACAGGTCGTCTTTCCAGGTGCAAGTAGTAGATTCTTTTTCCATACAACACCGTCATTTAAAATTAGAACAAACTAAAAATCTTAAAACAGAAGAAAAAAAAACTGTTTTCATTTGGATCATGAGATATATTACTTTACACTTGATCTTAACCAAAAGGTCAAGAAGCACTGAAATATGTTATTTTAAAAGCTCCAAGACTGAGCCAGGAAGATCTGCAGAACCCACATGGTGGAAATCAAGATCTGACTCCAGCAAGTAACACACACACACACACACACACACACACACACACACACACACACACACACACTAAACCAAAATAAAGAACAAAATAAGATTTGTTCATGGTCAGAACTATAGTGAATATACAATTATACAATGCACCTTTACACCCTTTAGCTATGAAACTCTTTACCGATGCTGCTGCTGAAATTTCCAGAGTTTGGTGTAAACATCAAAAGTTCTTCCAAAGTAGGATTGCCACTGCTTCTGTCCATATTGAGGCAAATCTCTGTAAAAATAAAGTGGATGTTCACATTAAATTTTTGGAAATTATGCCTTGTTATGGTAAAAGCTGTATCAATTAAGGTATTTACCTTAGATTTTCTGTTAAACCAAATTCCAATTTTTGAAGCAAAAATAATTCTATGTACCAGAACACGTTTTCCTGGTCTTGCACTAAATGATAGTTTGCCTTAGTGTCCTCGGCACACAACTCTCCCATGAGGACACAATCATATCTTCACTAATAAGTGATAGATATACTTACTCGGATACTAGTAATCCAACGTTTATCTTTAGCTAAGACGGACCAATCTGAAAACACTGCTTAGGAAATACATAACTAGAAGTGGGTGTGTAGTTGGTGCTATTCTATCTCCTTAGAAGAGAAATACATGTCCCTAAGCTCACTGAGCTATGATATCTGCCTTAGAGAAACAAATACTCCCTACTGTATGAATATTAAGCCTAACAATATTATCTTGTTTGGGGCAAAGAATGTAATTGTAAGTTATTCCATTTTTACTTTACCATCTGTTCTGAAACTGACTACTCTATAGCCTGCAACACAGAGAAGAAATATTTAATGGATTCAGAGAGCTGCAGACAACTCACAGGTAACCGAGGAGTTAGAAATAAATCCCCATTGTAGTAAGGCATAAAAATTTGGGAACATTTGTTATAGCAGCAGTAACTCGTAAACAATGGCTGGAAATGAGGTCACTGGTAGGATGGCAGAATTCTGCCTACTGTGATCTGGAACGCAGGCAATGGGACAAATGAACTCAGGGTCTACACAAAGAAGGCAGAAAGAGAATGTTACTAGCTAGTCCTGATTGTATCAGTTAGTTGTACTTTAATAAAATGCTCTAAGAAAAAGTTAAATTCTGCCAAAAAGGGAGTGATGAAAATAAAAAAAAAATAAAGGAAATGTCTATAAGCAGTCGAAGTAGAGAAAATCTACAAATTCAAGAGATTTCAGGACTGAAAGATACAACTTCAAATAGGCATGCATGGTGCTACATGTGTATAGCACTTAAGCAAAAGGTTGAAGCAGGGGGATAATGAGTTTGAGACCATTCTAAGCTACACGAAGGGAGACCCTGTGTATATACATAACAAATAAGCAACATCACCTTCCGTATACACGCAGTGAAGAAACATCCAGAATGTTTCTGAAGGCTTATCTTCACAAAGAAAAAAGTGTAATAAAAAAAAGCAGCAATCTCATAGCCTAACCATTTAATATTTTAGTAAATTTTTTATGTGAGATTATTTTCTTGTAATGTTTATTTTGTTGCTTAAGCAAAGAAGTTGTATGCTGGTGAGATGGCTCAGTGGGTAAAGTACTAGCTCTTTCAGCCTGAGCCCAGTCTCTGGGACCTACATAAAGATGGAAGGAAAGCTGGGCAGTGGTGGTGCAGATCTTTAATCTCAGCACTCAGGAGGTTCTCTGAGTTTGAGGCCAACCTGGTCTACAGAGTAAGTTCCAGGACAGCCAGGGCTGTTACACACAGAGAGGAACCCTGTCTCAAAAAACCAAACCCTGCTGCCTCCTCTGCCCCCTCAAAAAAAAAAAAAAAAAAAAAAAAAAAAAAAAAAAAAAAAGGAAGGACAGAACTGACTCTACAGGCTGCTTTCTGACCTCCACATGAGCTCCATGTCACAAGTACCCACACGGACATACATAATGATGATGATAACAAAGGTTGTATTTATATTTTTGTTGTGATGGAAGCAGGCAAAAGCACCTTGGCCTGAGTGCTGCCATTCTGACATCAGACTCCATCTAACCTACAGGGTGAAACAAAGTTTAGGTTCCCAAGCCCTAGGGAAGCTGGGAACCTCCCAGTAGCTGACCCACCTCCTTTCTAAACCACAGACATAGCTGCTATGCATCTTTCGTCCTCTAGAAACATCATGGCTGTTCCTAACAACAGAAGGAACAAATGAATCTGATGGATTGGACTAAAAGGCTTGCATTGTATGTTGATTAACAAGGTTGGAACACACAAGGAAAGTCCCAATCTTTGATTTCTGACTGGCAAAAATTGTAACTGTAACTTGGCAATGAATGTTGTGAATTTTGTGCTTATAATTCCACTTCTGCCCCTGCTCAGGTCTGTCAGGAGAAACAAAGCTCAAGTCCTGATCCATCAGTGACCCACGTGTGAAGTCTTTGAAACCCATAAGCATCTCGCTCCTCCCTCATGTTGTGTAACAGGCTAGGTATAAGAAAACAGGGTTGTAAAGATGAATGTTCTGTGCCCAATGTTGGGGTTAGTAAAAGAAGAAATAACATCTGAGATAAAAGTGACTGGTTTTCTAGTATCACTAAGAAAATCACTAAACAGGATTTGTCAGTAAATGATAAATACAAACATTTCTCTCTTTTAGAACAACAAACAATGTTAGCTACATACATCTGCTAAAATACTAATTTCCTCAAAAGAATTCAGGGCATTTATCATTCCAGTCTAAAGAATCACAACTGCACTGACGACGGCTAGGAAGTAAGGGAGCCTGCTGCCACGGCTGACGACCTGAGTAGGGTCTGTAAGACCCACACGGGAGAGAAGAGCTCTAACCCACAAAAGCTGTCCTTTTACCTTCTCATAAATTACATGGCTTGTGAGCACTACTCCCTCCCCCATATCAAATACACAGAAAAAAATTGTAAGAATCAGCTAAAAGTTTTACAAAATAAGGTTAACTTATTCTTATGATCACCTTTTTTCTTTTTGTTTTGTTTTTTTCGAGACAGGGTTTCTCTGTAGCTTTGGAGCCTGTCCTGGAACTAGCCCTTGTAGACCAAGCAGGCTGGCCTCGAACTCACAAAGATCCGCCTGCCAAAAGCTGGGATTAATGGCGTGCGCCACCACCGCCAGGGGAATCACCCTTTTTCTAATGACACATATCATAGAAGCTAACATATAAACCATTATAAAATGCTTAAGAGTCTAAAATTAAATAAAGTATTTGATAAAGAGTTTTAGAATGATGTTGGTGGTGCACATCTTTAATCCCAGCATGCAGAGGCAGAGGCAGGTGGATCTCTGTGAGTTTGAGGCCAGCCTGGTCTACAAGAGCTAGTTCCAAGACAGCCAGAACTATACAGAGAAACCCTCTCCTGAAAAACAAAAACAAACAAACAAAAAAACCCCAAAAAACAGAGTTTTAGATAAATTCTTCTATATTCAGAGCTTGACTCTGGCTTTTAACTCTAAATGCATCATCTGATTATTATTGCTGTCAATACAGATGGGAAATTAATGATTAATGCAGTTAAATTAAATGGGCCTCTGTGAACTAAATGACCTTGCATTTCATTTTGGATAGGCACTGATGTTGTAAGATGGCTGCTGACATTCTTTTTCTGGGATTTTAGAGAAATGTGTAGGCATGACACTAATCTCTCTTTAAAACTTCAGTGCTGTTGATGGACATGAGGAGGCTGGGAACAAACAGATCAAATGACGAGCCTGATACTTTAAGGTGTTGCTGTGTGATATTTGATTATGTTCTGACAAAGCTTGCCTGGAGATCAGAGGGCAGAGCTAGCTACTAGTTAACCACAGGAGCCAGCCAGTGGTGGCATGTGTCTTTAATTCCAGCACTTGGTAGGTAGAGACAGGAAGTGATAAAGTGGGATGTACACAGAGACCGCTTGTTTGTTCCTGGCTGCCCAGACCTGAAATAATCACAGAAATTATATTAATTGCAATACAGTCTGGCCTATTAGCTTAAGCATATTTCTGGCTAGCTCTTGTATCTTAAATTAATCCATTTCCATTATTTTGCTGTTTACCAAGAGGCTCATAGTTTACCGATACTGGTGTGTGTGTAGGTCTTTCTCCTCTGGAGGCTCTCTGACGCCACTTTCTTTTGTCTTCTGTCTGTTTGGAATTCCTGCCTTACTCAATTCTACCCTGCTGTAAGCCAAAGCAGCTTTATTCTTTAACCAATGGTATTCACATCATACAGAGGGGAATCCTACATCACCTCCGCTTTTCTGTCTAAATAAAAAAAGGTTTTAACTTCAACATAGCAAGATTACATACAATAAAAGTTATCAAGCAAGAATTATAGTTACAATATTTATATCTAATTTATCTTTTATCATAACTAAACTATAACTATCTGTTCTTCAACTCCACCAAAACACCAGAAGAATATATTACCTAAGTTAACAGGAAGTGCATTGTAAGCAACTTTCAAAACTCTCGCTGCCTGGACAATGACCCACAGTTCTTCTGTATCATTACAGCACCATCTTCAACTACAGCCCATAGTGTCTGGCAGACTTGTCCACAAAGCAGGAAACTTGAAGATCTCTTATGCCTTGTACTGGCAAAGTCCATCATTTGCTTTCTTCTGTGTTCTGGAAAATGTCTGGCAGTTATCTCATGAAGCAGGAACCCTGAATGACTGTCTCACCTTCTTTAGGCAAGTTCAGCAGTCATTTTTCTGTGGGTCCTGCATGTACAGTTCATATAGCATATCATCAAGCAGTTCAGACAAGAGCAGTTTCTTGCCCAAATGGCTAACCAATTCAATAAGGAGCCTCTTTGTAATAATAAGAGCGGCGGGGCTGTGTTCCCAGTACCCCGGCCGTTTGCCCGGCTAGCTTATGCCCGAAATAACAACACACAAACTGTATTCATTTAATCACTGCTTGGCCCATTTCTATCTAGCCTCCTCTAGGCTAATTCTCACATATTAATTTAGCCCATTTCTAATCATCTCTGTAGCGCCCCTAGGTGCGCTTACCGGGAAGATTCTAGCCTATGTCCATCCTGGGTCGGAGCTTCATGGCGTGTGTCTGCCCAGGAGCGGGGCATGGCGTCTCTTTGAGGCGTCTGCTCACAAGAGGAGAGCTGTTGAGTCTGACCTCACTTCCTGTTCCTCCCAGCGTTCTGTTCTGTTTACTCCTCCCACCTATCTTCTAACCAATAAAATGGGCCAAGGCAATTCCTTTATTAGCCAATGACCTTCCTCCATCATTTCCCC